CCATCTTTTCTTCTGTGCTGCTTGCATCAGCCATCATAACAGACATCACATCAATTTTTGGGATTTTCTCCAACTAAACAGAGGAAGGAGCAGACTTGATGAACAAAGGGTTCTCCTTTATAACAACCCCAACTTGATCAGGCTTCTTCATCTGCTGAAGTATTTTTTTTGCAACAGCTGGAGGAGTTTGATCTTCTCCTAGCCGGATTTCTTTAGAATGGCTACGGGTGATTGGTCCTATATAGGTGTCGCCCAAAGCAAAAGTAATTTTTGCAGAGGTTTTATTGGGCGTCATTATATCTTTTCTCTTTTTTTCTTGAGAAAAACTTAGTCTAGAGAAAGATATGAGAGGTAGAGATTGCCCCACCGGGCGTGCCAATTTGTTCACACGAAATTTCCGAATAAATTATATTTCGTGGAGTTGAACTTTTATATTGTCTGTACGTATTGTATAGTGGATTCAATCTCTAATCTTTATCCTCTGATTCTTTCTCTCGAACTTGATGTGAAGATATATGTTCTTGAATTTGGATTTGGATCGAAGTTATATGTTCTTCGAAAGTCTTCAAGTCTTCAAGTCTTTAGAGAATCTTCAACTTCGTATAAATTCTCCCAATTCTCAAATTTTGAACCATGAAAATGAATGAGGTCCCCTCTATTTATAGAGGTTTCCTTAAACTTTGGTGGTACGAATAATTTTGGGCCAAGCCTAATTCTTTGAATAGATTTATTTAAATTTAAATATGGGATAAGTACATAGATAATTTATTTAGAAATCATAATTACGTAAAAAGATTGAAAAGTATAGAATTTACACTTTTGTCATGAAACAACACTAATTAGATGATACCCATCACACAAATTACTAGTATATCCTTTTAAGGATCCATCTCAATATTAAATAATTATTAAAATCTAGAATTGGTAAATTGGGAGGTCAAATCCCTTACAATGTGCTAATGATACTTTCCAAAATAAAAAAATCCCAAAACCCCGAAAAATCATCCATTTTCAAAACCCACCCCTTTCTTCTTCCTTCGACTGTCTGTTTTTCTTTTCTTCCTCCCACCGTTCGTTTTTCTTCTTTTGACTCTCCGTTATTCTTCTCCAACCTTCCGTCGCTGTCTGCCTTCCTCTCCGCCCGGCTTCGTTTTTCTCTATCCAAAGGGCATTTCGTCTGGTAGTTTCTGCCTGGCTTCATCTCTGGCCGACGTCTGCATGCCTTAATCTCCGGCCACCTCCATCGATTGAAAGGTTTGCATTCCAACGATTATTTTCAATTTTTGATTTCGTGTAAAATATTGTATATATGCGGATATATATTATAGTGATTTGATTAGGATATATCTTATAACTCAACTTGTATATATGCAGATATGCGGATATATACTATAGTGATTTTGAATGTATCTATGCGGATATATAAGTGGATATATCTTATAACTCAACTTGTATTATGCTGATATATACTATAGTGATTTTGAATGTGTATATGCAGATATATTAGTGGATATATACTGTGATTTTGAATATATTTTTTGAATATGCGGATATATGTTTATTGAGACTTCACAAGATGTTTCGGTGATTTTGAATTGTCTTTGAAGATTGAGCACCAATGTGGGAGTGAATTAAGGGAAAATCAATCTTAAATCCTGCATGCAGAAATCTAAAAGTGTAAACTTAGAAAAATTCAGACATTTGTGTAAATAAGTTTCTAAAACAGCCTCCGAAGACATTATCTCTTTAAATATTAATCCACTTGATTTCATGATAAATTGAGTTTTGGGCCAAGTTTGTGAACTAAATTGATTCCAAGTCTAATACTCATATAACCCAATTACATATTTTAATTGTCAATTTATCTTTAATTTTAGTTTAGGGTTAATATATAATTAATCTCTAAATAAAATAGATAATGACGTGGTCGTTTTGATTTAGTTGGCACAATAATTAAGATACATAATTATAAGAAAACCCTATATAAAGTACAATAATTTAAGGATGAAACACAAAATTATGATTACAAAAGGTTGTAGAAGGAGCAATCATTCGTTAATTTCGACTCCTTCGTCATTTTCAATGAGATACGTGTACTACATTTTGTTAAAGTTCATGTAGAAAAAGAGGAATCAAGAAGTTATTGGAGAGTGAACAACATATCCCCCAAGTTATTTTGTCTATATAAGATATAAATAAAATAAATAAAAATATTGAATTCAAATAAAACGAGGTTTAATAACCATAATTAAACCAAAGAGTTTGTTCAAATAAATAAAATTGGTAAGTAAAAATCAAAATTTTGTTTAATAAATTGTGAAAATAATAAAATATAGTAATTATAGTTGGAAAAAAATGTGCAAATAAATTGCAAATATAAATAAATTTGATAACCATAATAAAAAAAAGATTTTCGAAAATATGTATGTTTCATATATAACTTTTTAAAAAAGAAATATTGAAAATTATCAGAATAAAAAATTATTCTAGAACAGAGAAAATGGGAAGTAATCCG